AGAGTGGGGGCAGGGGGGCCTGGGGGGTGAGAGCAGGGGGGTCCAGGAGCCCAGATGCCTGGGTTCTCTCCAGCTGTGCAGGGGGGCAGCAGGGTCAAGCACAGGGGATGGTACTTGCCCCCCTCCATCCAGGCCCAGGCCTGGTCCCCCTGCTCCACACGTGGGGAAACTGAGGCACATGGTGGCCGAGCACCCCGGCAGGGCCTGGCTCGGCTGTGAAGAGAACCCAGGTGTCCGGGCCCCCATCCCCTGGGTCCCACAGCCTGGAGGAGAGGGTTCTGGGGAGGGGGGTTTCCATGCTTCTGCCCCCCCCACCCCCAAACTCACCCTGGAGACAAGGGAGCTGCACCTGGAGCCGAGACGAGGCTGAAGCTACCTGGGCAGGTGAGGGCGGGGCCGGGCAGCGGGGCTGGGCCAGACGCCTGGGTTCCCTCCAGCTCTGGGAGGGGAGTGGGGCCTAGGGGTGAGAGCAGGGGGCGCGGGGAGCCTGGATACCTGGGTTCTCTGGGAGAGGAGTGGGGCCTAGGGGTGAGAGCAGGTGGGGGGGCTGGGAGCCTGCATGCCTGGGTTCTCTGCTCTCCCCATCCCTGCCTGGCACCATCTTGGGCTGGGATCGGGGCCTGGCTGCAGCCTGGCACCGCCAGCGATAAGGTGAGAAGAGGCAGTCACTGGGCTCCCAGAAGGCCCCAGTGAGAGCATGGGTGGGGGGCACTGGGAGCCCAGATGCCTGGGTTGTCTGGGGTGTGCGAGTGGGGTGGGAACAGAGGGGCTGGGAGCCCGGACACCATGGGTTCCCTCCGGCTTTGCAGGAGCCTGGTCCGGAGCAGGGCCTTTGTAGCTAGCTACATCTTGGCCCGGGCAGCTGTTTAGAGGCTGCCCGCAGACCGTATGTGCCCCCCCCACCGCGCCAATGCCCAGGGCTGGGAGCTGCAGGGGGGGTTGGGGGGTTGGTGCCAGCGCCCAGGGAGGCACAAAGGAGCCCAGGCAGGAATGTGGAGCTAGTGCCAGCTCAATGCCCCCCCGCCAATGCCAGAGAACAGCTGCGGGTTGGGAGTGAGGGACACCATGGGTATAAGTGGGGGGGCTGTGGGTTGGGAGTGAGGGGCACTGGGCAGGCAGGGGGCTGTGGGTCGAGTGAGGGGCACTAGAAGGGCTGGGGGGCTGCGGGTCAGGAGTGGGGGGCACCAGGGAGTAGAGGGGTTGTAGGTCGGGAGTAAGGGGCACCGGCAGAGCTGGGGGTTGGGAGTGGGGGGCAGCAGCAGGGCTGGGGCTGCGGGTTGGGAGTGAGGGGCACCGGCCGCACAGAGGCCCATTGTCCAGTGCTGGCCAGGGAACAAGGCGGCTTTGAGGCTTGGATCCAGCTGAGGTTGCAGGAGCCAAAGGCCGTGGGAGGGGGATGGGGGCTGCCCTGACGCCTGGGTTCTGCCTCCCTCCTCCCTGTCCCCGCTGGCTGCCCCCTGGATGGGGCCTGGGTCAGGGCACGGGTGGGGCTGGGAGCCTGGATGCTTGGGTTCCCTTGGGGGGAGGGTTGGAGGCAGCATGTGTGGGAGGAGGAACATGCA